AGTTAGATTTACAAGCAATGAAATATTAATAACTTAATTCTAGGTAACTTGCTCCATCAAGAATATGACCTGATTTAACATTGATTATACAGGATGTTTAGATATATATATGTAGGATCAATTTATTTGACTGAGAAGTTCCGGCCGCAAATCCCTACAAATTGCTTGGAGAGACGATAATCTGGCGATCGGAGAGGCTCTCGAAGGGGTGGAGTCTCATCCTATCCTATGCATGTCAGTCCGCTACGCGATGGAATCTACTCGTTTTCTTTTAATTGGGCCAAAGGTAGTATCGGATATCTTATACGTATCTCTTGTTATTTTTTTATGGCCGTATCTTTAAAAACATGGACTACAGACGACAAAAAATTCAAATAAAATTATGACTTGTTTAACAAAGTTTTAATTATAAAACTCGCAACGTATTTCCATATAACTTTTACCTATTAACTTAAGAGAAAAAAAATGTAATTTTAATTAATTCGGCAACATGACCTAATTGTTACTACGAAATAAAAAAAACTTCCTCGACCATGACAAAAGAGAATTGATTTAATAAATAGTACAATGAACCGGATATTGTAATACAATTATTGATAAATGGTTTTATGTGCGCCTGGTGATGCAGTTTGTAACGACTGACAAAATCATTGTTAATCTTATCTTACTAATATTATAAATGCGAATGTTTAGATGGATGGGTGGATGTTTGTTTGTAGGTATCTCGAAATTTGGCACAGATGTAGAACATAGTCTGGAAGAACACAGGCTACTAATTAAGTCTTCTTTTAATTGCGCGGTGAGTCGCGGGCGACTGCTATTTTTATATTAACCCATTCACCGTCAACGAGAGTTTTGTCAGCATTCCATGAAAAGGAATCATTATGCGTGTGTTTTGGTATTTTAAATTGTATTCTAAAACATTTTACGTAGTCTTTGTGAAAGAGACAAAGTTCGAGGTGCAATCTGCAACGACGTGGAAAAATTTACATTTGTTGATAGTTTCAGCTCTATGGTCGACAAGAAGCGTAAGATGTATCAACATTAAATTATTTATCTTCTCATCTCATACGACGAGATAAGGGTAACATGCGATTCTGCCTCGACTCGACTAATCTTACTTCTCTAATATTATAAATGTGAATGTTAGATGGATGCATGTTTGTTTGAAGGTATCTCCAGAACTGCTAAACAGATCTCGCTGACATTTGTCTTATAACATGGTCTGGAAGGCATAGGCTACTTATTATTTTTTAAACTACGCGCGGGCGGTATCGCTGGCGATACCTAGTTTTGCATAACAAAAAAAAACAGATAGGAGGTTGACTAAAGTCGATGCCTTGCGATGAACTTTGTCAGCTTTTTTATTGTTATGTACTAATTGAAATGTGTAATGTAATAAAATGGTATGGTATTGTGGATGTCTGAGTGACATGGGTTGCATAACAAGCGTCTCGGCATCCGGCTAACGGTACGGAGACCCGACTCGCTCTGCTCTTTGCTTGTGTCTATGTTTGTCTATAGATTAAAAATAAAAATTCAAAATCAGAATGGCAAGTCGTAGTCCCATTTAATATCATTACTATTATATCTTTATTTTTATCAAATGTAATTTTGTGTTACATGATGACTTTGGTAGGGGAAATCTTTTTAAATTTAAATGACTACATATTATTAGCGATACAGAATACATAAACTTCTAAATATGTTTGATATAAAAGTTTTCAAAAGGATATATTTGGCGACCCTACCATGATGTCTAGCGTACCTGAACGATGGCATCGGATGTAACAATAGTGACCGGTCGTTTGCATCGAAAGTTGTTCGAATTGGCGAAGCATGGCCTTATGTCGCGTGGCGAATCACGCTTCCTACCATGGACAGACACTTCCCATCACGAAGTAAAGTTGTCCGTCCAGTTTCTATATTCGTGAGCTTTAACGTCGTGACTGACCGATACAACTGACTGACAATACTTCTGACGGAAGCTATATGACTGAGGTGCATTTTAAAAAGTTTGAGATCGGGTTTGTACCTTTAGATTCACTTGTTTGATACTTTAAATGTCGGCGACTCTCCTAGCGAGTTACCTTTAAATTTAGTTCAACACGCGTAGCAAGTCTAATATACTTTAAAAAAAAGTGTGCGATATCCTACTATGATGGATGAATGGATGGATAGATAGACGGTGGGATGGATGGACGTTTATTAGAAGGTATATCCAGAACTGTTGCATAGATCTCGCTGAAATTTGGCATGGATGTAGATCATAGTCTGCAAGAACACATAGGTAATTTAAGTTTTTTTTTAATTCATCGCGGACGGAGTCGCGGGCTACAGCTAGTGTGAGAATATATTGGAAAAATCGTAGTAATACGAACGTATTAAAGTTACATAGTTTTGACAACACCCTGTTTAAATCTACATACTAGTTTTATATGATTACTCATCTTGTTAAGCAAATGATTGGTTCCAATAACGGTTGTGCTAAAATCATTTCCACCTACTCGCCGAGTTGATTAGTTTAGGATCGGTTATTTAGTGGGCGGGCATCTGTCACGGATCCGTTTACGCACGTATTGGTGAGGGGAGGGGTCACGTTGACCGTGTTACGTATAACTTTAATATTCATGTTAACTACTTGACAAATATTAGGCATTTTTGTCGGTTTCATCCTCATTCTCAAGGTTTTGAGTCATTTCGTCGTCTATACAATTAAAATTAGAGTGAATGAATAAAAAAAGTTTACCGAATACGATGTATTTGCTATGATATAACGAATAACCATTTTTTTGTTAAACGAGCCCTTAACTTGTTAACTTAGCCCCGTTTTAACTATTCTTATACGACAGTAGCGCTCAAAATCAGCGCTGGCACAATGTAAATACTACCTGGCACTGTGAAACAAAACAGTCCATGCCAGACCAGTGCTACTGTTCTTCTGTACTGGCATACTGTAAATCGGACATAAATCTACAAGTTCACCTTTAAACGAATATAATAAAAACACACATAGTCTAGAATACTTTATGAATTTGACTATTCCAGAATCATTTTTAGTCTTCCGTACCACGAAAAGAAAAAACGGAACTGTTATACTCGTAGGATCACCTTGTTGTCCGTCCGTCGGTCTGTCAAGACTCTTTATTCTATTCATTGGATTAAAAC